TTATCACTAGGTGAACTATGTGTACAGTATCATCAACGCAATACGAGCATTATCACTAGGTGAACTATGTGTACAGTATCATCAAAGCAATACGAGCGTTATCACTAGGTGAACTATGTGTACAGTATCATCAACACAATACGAGCATTATCACTAGGTGAACTATGTGTAAGTTACCTACAATATTTGCTTTAGCAGCTGCTACACCAGATTTCTTCTTCATTGTTCTGCATAACACTACCGGTTTTATGTCAGGGTCGTTCTCAGTCCCTGGATACTTTTCCCTAAAAACAGAAGAGTTTGTACAGCGAATTAAAAGAATGACTTACCTGGTTACACGTAACATCAACATATAAAACAACCTTTTCAAGCAGTAACACTAAGTAAGTAACATGTGAGGCAACTTCACAATTAGAAGGATCAGAATGCACAGGGAGCTAGCTTATACAGGATTTTTTAAGAGGGTGGGGGGGGGGGGGATATTTTTTGAGAGCATTTTTTGTTGTGAGCAGTACAAACACAACTGCAGTGCACATTTAAAAAAAAAACATTACAATATACTGGAACACTTTCCCTTTGACAGTAAAGATTATGTTTGTTTCTAAAACATTTTACGAATACATCAGTAAAAACCTCTATATCATGCCCCTAGTTTTCATTTGCCCTCCTGCTTACAGCCAAAATATCTTTTCTTGTAAGGATCCCTGTCTCACTGTGACAAACTATTTCTTTTCCAATATAACTAAAGTAGGACAGAGCCAGGATACTTCAAATCAACTCTTGTCTGTCCCCTTCGTATTCTTACAGTCAGAACATTGTTTTTTCATTAAAAAACTTGTAAGGTAATGTGGGTTTTTTCCAGAAATAATTCATCAAAGCTAATACCAAATGCACTCTTACAGTTTTTGAGTAGTGATATGAGGATGCTTGACCAGGTATAAATGCAGGAATAGAAAGTTAGTACCTTTTTTGAAATAGGGGAAAATATACGCTGTAGTATAGGTGCATGACCAGTGTCCAGCGAGAGCTGCAGGCCAGAGCCAAGGGGAGAGTACAAGAGGGGGGGGGGGGTCATGGATATCATCTTTATTTTTTGCTTCTCGCTGTTCTTTATAGATGATACGAATTGTCCACGGGATACGCATTAGAAAAAAGTGTTTGTGTGACTGTTATGGTATTGTATAACGTAAACCTGGGTAGCTGTAAACAGTGTCGTAATATATCAGCAGTGACAATTAACATGAACACATGCAATAATCACTCAGTCGTGGAACTGACGGAAAATGAAAACAAACTGGAAACAAGATAGATATTCATGTGGTAGTATTTTAGTTACTAGTCGGGGAATCTTTAACTGAAAAACGGGAAAATAAAACTAAAATGGGAAAATAATTCCGAAAATTGAAGAGGGGGGAATTGGTCCATATTCGGCCATAAAAAAGGCCTGTATATATCCATGCCTAACAATTCCTTTATATGATTCCCTCAACATATTGCCAAAATTATGTATCATGCCAAAACAATCACTAGGCAAATAGTGGCAGTATAACTAAATTTTTCAGTCATAAGTAAGAAATTCAGTACAGAAATAAATGGGAACAGAATTGTATTGGAATTTTTCCAGACTACAGAAGGCTTTAATTACCAAACTTCCAGTAGGGAAGCAGTGTTACCTGTGTCGTTGGAACTTTTTCAAAAGAGGACCATTCTTCAGTAGAGAAGCAGTATTACCTGTGTCGTTCAAACTTTTTCAATAGAGGATCATTCTTTTCTAAGTTTTCAGTGAATGCCACGTTGATCTTGGCTAGATACGTACACCATAGTCGGAACACAACATCCTGTCAATGTAAACCAAAGTTAATTCAAAATCTTACAAACGATCATGAACATTCTAACAAGCATAGATTTCATAGTTTACATGTTGTAACACTACAGACTTTCTCCAGATGGGAGGAATGCTCCAACCCTTTTTTTTAACCAACCTTTATAACACTTACAGTGACCTACTATGAGAAAACACAGATTAACAGAATAGATTCAATAGATTTAACTTCGGGTTGCGGGTTCGAATCACGGCGCGGCACTGTGTTGTATCTTTGAGCAAGATACTTTACTCCACTTGTTCCAGTCTACTCAGCTGTATGAGTATGTGGTTTGGCAGCACTAGAAATGTTGAATGCTAGCTGTATATGCTCCCCAGAGAGTTGAGAAAGATATTGGCTGGTTGCCAAGGCCCTATAACCCCCTCATAACAATTTGTGAACCGCTTTAAGATGACCTATGAACTAGGTTGTGATAAAGCGGAGTATAAGAACCACAAATTATTATTATTACTATTATTATTCCATAAATACGAACAGATCATTTTCTTTCTTGTTGTTTAATTTATTAGATATAATGATATTTGCATAATGATCATTTAGAAATTATCAACAGCTAAGGAAAGACAATATTTAGCTGTATAACCTACCTTAAGTTTCGGATCTGCCCCTAGCTGTATAAACTACCTGAAGTTTCAGATCTACCCCTAACTGTATCACCTACCTTAAGTTTCAGATCTGCCCCTAACCATATAACCTACCTTAAGTTTCGGATCTGCCCCTAGCCGTATCAGGGCTTTTACTTGCTCTTTTATAATGATCTGGAACCCCTCATAACAGCTCCATGAACGACCCTTATCTCCTGCAGATTAACATAAAAGATTAATTTAAAAACAAATTGTTCTGTTATCTAATATTAGTATACATGGCTAGCACTACAGTGAACATACAATTCTATGAAGCATAGTAGAGCTAATTATCATAAAAGAATCTGTACAATGTACCTTCCTAATTTTCTGCAATTTCTAACTTTCAAAATAAGATTCCATTGTCAAATACTTGTTAACCTTTTCTATTTATAACTGAAGAAACAAATTTATCATCACAGTTGGTTACTTACGTTGATCTTGTTTGTCTGTTTTGTGTTGCTGTTTCTTATTGCGTATCATATGCATCCCAAAAGCATTAGATACATCAATAAATTCTTCAGCCGCCTCCTCCTGCCTCAAATCCTTCAATCACAATGCAGTATAAGATATAAATGACTGTTTACTAGTACATTAAAACAGGTTTATAGTGTGTACCTATTGTACCTATTGTACATATTCTAATCAGCAGATAAGAAAAGCTATGACGAAGAAAGAAAATCTGAAATAAGGGATGTAATTAGATAACATCAATGGAAATAAACCCTATTATAGCTATAAGATCTGGAACTTGTTTGACTATGTTTGTTACAAGTACCTATACTCTGTTGGCTTTACAGGGGGATACCTGGACCTTGGTCGTTAAAATAAGTCTTCAGAGTAGACACTCGTGTAGAAATCATTGATTAATCAGTGTAGTATGTTAACAAATTATGCACTGAAACAAAACTAATTAAAAACAGATTAAAAGACAAGGTGACTAAGTATATACGTAACAATTACTAGATTGGCTAGCTGCAGAAACCATAACCTTCTAGGCCTGATCGGTTTGGTTTTTTGAATGGTCCATCTTCATTAGTTCTATGTCAGTTTGATCTTTTCTCTTCTTTTCTCTTATCTGTTTGATTAGTTTGCCTGTCCGCCATCTTAATCCGTCTTTTAATCAAACCTCATAAGTTAACATGCACAACTAAGAAATAAGCGGAACGTACAGATCAGAGACAGATTTCTACTGCACATTCTGAGAAATAGCGAAGGACGCCTGTACGCATCTTAGTTTTCTGATCAGTCCAAAAATCTGATGTACATAACTAAGAACCAAGAGGAACCATTGTGAATTTGAGAAAGATCTCTCCAATCCTTTTTGAGCTACTGGGCTAAACAACTTTTACTCTCAAGTTCAATTGGGCCACCATGCAGCTGGCCATCTTGGTTTTCCAAACATCCCCAAAATTTGAAATTTGAAATAGGAACCTTGGAGAACCTTCTTTTGAAATTTGAGAAAGATCCCTCCTGTACATTCGAAGAAATAAGGCAAACAAACTTTCATTCTCAAATACAAGATGGCTGACTGTTGGCCATCTTGGTTTTGTGATCAGTCCCAAAAAACGATATGCATCACAAGTCAGGACTATGGGGAACCTTCATATGAAATTTGAGAAAGATCTGTTCTGTACATTCCGAGAAATAATGCTAACAAACTTTCATTCTCAAATTCAAGATGGCTGGCTGTCAGCCATCTTGTTTTTGTGATCAGTACCAAAAAATGATTTGCATTACATTTTGTAAATTTGAGAAAGATCAATCCAGTACTTTCTGATAAAAAGTGCTAACAAGAATTATTTAAGGACAGACAGACGGAAAACAGACCACGGACGCAGAGTGATTTGAAAATTTCTCATCTGGATATTGAGCAATCATGCTGAAAATATTCTCAATAAAAGTAATTTTGCAAATATTTCCATATATTTAAGACTCCTTGGCTTAAGAATGTCTAGACTAAATGAAACTTTATACTACTCTGTCCCAGGTACCTACTGGTCAAATAGCATTGCGCTAGGCCTCATGGTTATTCAAAAGACGTTGTTTGAAAGTTTGTAACACTTTTTACACTTGTGATCTTGAAAGTAGGCCAAGGTCATTTATTTGAGGCAACTTTATGTGCCTTCTGGTTATTCTGAAGTTGTTTAAAGGTTTTTACATATTGCAACCCTGTGACCTTGGAAGTGGGTCAAGGTTATCTTTAATAATAATTCGAGTTTCTTATATACCGCTTTATCATAACCTAGTTTGTAGGTCGTCTCAAAGCGGTTCACAAATTATTATGTGGGGTTTTAAGCCTTTGCAACCAGCCAATATCTTTCTCAACTCCCTGGGCAGCATACAGTCAGTGCTGTCATTTCGGCGCTCACAGCTAGCAATCTACATTTCTAGCACTGCCCAACCACATTCTCATTTAAAGCCAAGTAGACTGGAACAATCGGAGTAAAGTAATTTGCTCAAAAATACAACACAGTGCCGTGACTTGAGCCCAGTGTCCTACCACTAGACTACCGCCGCCTCCACAATTATTTTAGGAAACTTTATAGCACTCTGTCCCAGGTACCTCAGTACTGGACAAATATCATTGCTCAAGGCCTTTCGGTAATCCTGAAGAAGATTTTTAAAAGTCTTGAACATTTTGACTCTTGTGATCTTAAATGTAGGTCAAGGTCACTTATTTGATGACAGTTCATAGCACTTTAAGCCAGGTACCTACTGGCCAAGTATCATTACTTTGGGCCTCCTGGTTATTCAGAAGAACTTGTTTAAAAGTTTTTACATATTTCACCCTTGTGACTTTGAAAGTAGGTCAAGGTCGTTTGTTTGATGAAAGTTTATAGCACTCTGTCCCAGGTACCTACTGGCCAAGTATCATTACTCTGGGCCCTCAAGTCCCTAAGAAGAAGTCGTTCAAAGAAAAAGTTGACAGATGACCGACAACACAATATACCGTAAGCTGGCACTTTCGTGCCATGTGAACTAATAAAAAGTATTGGGCCTCGAAGCTATGGTTCCCGCAGCTATGTATTGGCAAGACTTAACCAAAAGATGAAAATTACATTCATCATGATCAAAACGATTTTTTTTTTAGGATAGTGTTACCTCGTGTTTCATTACTGCTCGATTGCTAATGTGCAAAATATGTACATAACATGTTATTATCACTGCTGTGAGTGCACATTTTGATATATACTCTACAGATATTTTATTTGCATTTAGCAAAGCTTTCAGTTGACTACTGACATGAACAATTTAAAAAGTCAAATATCATTTTCTCTGAAAAAAATTAGGGTCAAAATACATGTCCATTAAAACCCAAAAACCAACTTTGGGAAGTTTAAAATAATAAAGACCAAATTTCAAACTACCATGGGTGCTCTTTTTATGACAGGGGTATGATTGATTCATGTATGAAATCAAACATTTTCACATATCAGAAGGAAAATAAGAGTTAAAATGTAACTGTAAATAGAAGGACAGCTAGTGTGTTCTTATGACTACAATCGAACCAGCAACTCCCAGTTTCCCAGTATGTATACTATGCTACTAATTAAACTGAAGTTAATTAAACCTAGAATGAAGTTACATTAGTAAGGTGTATCATTTGAGAGGGCAAGTGTGATACTAATTAAACCTGCTGCAAGTGTTATGCATTGACTTGATTATTGAATTATGTTAAAAGGATGATACCCTTTCCTCCCTCCCCCATTATGTTTAAAAGAGCTTTATGTTTTATATCAGTTTCTTCCCTCATTAATACAATTGTTAACTATTCTATACAATAACTCAAAATAATGCAGGATGTTTTACCCATAAATAGTAAATAGTTATACCAAACCTGTAGAACCCAACGTGAAATATGAAAGAATAATGGCATATAAATTTATATAATAATCAAGGATATCTGCTGTGCACACTTCACAGACCTGGGACTGCGTCATACACATGGTACAGAAAAATAATCCGTCCCTGGCCTCAAACTCATCTTCTCCGCAAACAGTACAGGAAGGCATATGTTTTCAGTGTCTATAAACAAAATACGAAATGTCACTCATTGATATCATACAATTCGGTCAACTGTTTCATTTCCTCGCGGAAAAAAAGGTTGCAAATAAAAAACGACTCTCAAATATAGTAATAATCCATCTTCATTTCGTGTAGCATTCTCTAATCAACTTCTACAACAACACCGGAAGTCGCACGTGGAAATCCCATCATACACTTTTCAAAATGGACGCATCCATCAAAATATTTCCGAGTTTCTGATGTCTATTTTTTCTTCGAGTATTTTTCCTGTTTCTTAATTGGTTTACTTTCATTTCTTAAACTTCAGAATGCATATAAGAAGAATGTTTGACCATACCAGGTAAAACTTCATAATTCTAATTCAATCGAGGTGTTGTATAGTTAAAAGAGGTCGAATGACCCATTGATCAAGATCCTAGAATGAGGAACAAATAATCCAGAGTATCTGAACTGTGGGTTGCATTACTTGACTGAATTCTATTAACAATTATTTGCTATCAAATAATAATTTACCTTCCTTATTCTGCTCACATTTAAGCTTTTCAAAAAGCTGGCACCTTCATCGTGGATGACGTTGTTGTACCCTGTGCAGTGAACAGCCACTGACAGATGCTATACATGTACCGGTCTGTGTAATTTTGATGTAACCTACCACGAATCTGTATCTGTATATGTACGTTGAAAGACCACTTCTGGTATATAATCAATGGAAGCGAAGAGCGCATAGAGGTTTTTAGTCGGAGTGGAGACGAGATTTGAAAATTTCCACAGATTTTACAAGGATTTGTTCGTCCTGGAGATGGTTCCAGTCTATTATATTCCTGGGGAAAAAAGAGTTCCTGAGTGTTTCTGTTTTCGCAGCAATAGTTTTAAAACAGCTGCTATTGTTTGTAACACTATTTTCAACGACGTTTGTTGAGATAAAGCTGTCAAAATGCCTTGCTGTCACTTTGCGTTTAATTCTCACTGGTTATGAATAGGGCTTAGTTGGTATAGCCTGTACCAACCCCTCCACCACCTTGAACAGGAAGGTCAGACGTAGTTCCTTTCTGCGTTGTTGTAATGTTTGCAGGTCCAAGTCCCTGAGCATGTTGGCGACGCATCCAGGAGATCTTGTTCTGTGGTCGCGCGAGATAAATCGAGCAGCCTTCCCTTGAATCCTCTCCAGCTTGTCATGATCAATATCCGACTGTAGGAATGGGTCCCATATGATGGCTCCATATTCCAGTGTTGATCTGACAAGCGAGATGTAGGCCGATTTCCGTGTTCTGGCTTGGCAGTGGTAGAGGTTCCGCCTAATAAAGCCTAGGGTAGAACTAGCTTTTTTACAGATTTTGTCGATGTGGGTTCTCCATCGGAGATCAGACGAGATTGTGATGCCAAGGTAGGGGCTAGTCGGAACTCCTTTGAGGATAGTGTTATTCAGTTGGTAGTAGTAAGATGACTTCTGCTTTATGGTTAGGATATAACACTTGCTGGCATTGAACCGCATGCCCCACTGCTTGGCCCAAAACTCAAGATTGTTTAGGTCTTGCTGGAGGGTGATGTGGTCCTGGTGGGTGCGCAGTCATCTGCGAATAGGCGTACTTGAGACTTGACGGCCTCAGGCAAGTCGTTGATGTGGCACAGAAATAATAGAGGGCCAAGGACTGTTCCCTGGGGTACTCCGGAGGCAACAGGAACTTCTCTTGAGTATTCACCTTCCACTACTACCTTCATGTGCCTTTGGCAGAGAAATGACCTGATCCATCGATGTAGATTTCCACGTACGCCGTACGAGTCCAGCTTATGCAGCAACCTCCTATGGGGCACCGTATCGAATGCCTTAGAGAAGTCCAATATGGCGATGTCAGTCTGTGAACCTTGGTCAGAGTTGGAAACAAGGTCGTGTATGGTGACAGCAAGCTGGGTTTCACATGAATAACCAGCACGGAAGCCATGATTGAGAGGTGACAGAATTGCGTGCTGGTCAAAGTGGTTGAGCAAATGATGACAGACGATGTGTTCAAGGATCTTGCTGAGAACAGAGGTCAACGATACAGGATGGTAGTTCTCTGGTGCATGATGATCTCCCTTCTTGAACACAGGGGCCACGTTCGCATTCAGCCAGTCTTGGGGGAGAATTCCCGAGTCCAGTGACCTCTGGAATATCCTAGAGACTCCAGGTGCAAGTTGGGGTGCACACTCCTTTAATACCATGTTCGGGAGTCCATCAGGTCCAGGGGCTTTTGATGTTTGTATATTGAGTAGCAACTTCAGTACTCCTGCCTCGCTGATCTCCAAGTCCTGGATGTTATCGTCAATGTGGCTGCGTCCTGGTGGTAAATCAGGGTCTCCATCACGGGTGAAAACAGAGCTAAACTGGTTGATGAGTGCTTCCGCTTTGTATTTCCCATCACTGAGTAGCTGGCCTTTGGTTCGTAATGGTGAGACTCCAATGTTGTCCTGCTTCTTTTTTTTGACAAACCTCCAGAAAGGCTTTGTGTTGTTGCTGTCTAGACCCTTTTGGATAACCTCATTGACGTAAGACCACTCGGCTCGACGAAATGCCCTCTTACACTCTTTCTGATGTTGGCGAAAGTTGGACCAGATGCCGGTTCCACAGGCTTGGCGGTGTAGTCGTGTCTTTCGTCTGAGCATACTCCTTAGTCGTCTATTCAGCCAAGGTGGGGCGTTCTTACGATTGGATGTTTTCGAGGGGATGAATTTGTCGAAGAGGCGCTGTAGGGATAGCTTAAAGGAGTCCCAGAGCTGTTCTGTGTCCTTTCCCTCCTTATAAAGGGATGCTATTCTCTCGGAGATGGTACGGCATCCGTCACGCAGGTCATCCCATTTAGCTCTTCGAAATTGAAGTACCTTCCTCGGTTTCTGTTTGTTGTAGTGAGGTCTAGTGTCACTGTCAACTACTACTATGTCATGGTCCAAGATTCCAGGCACCGTTGTTGAACTCTTCACTGGGGATGGATTTGACATAAATACGAGATCAAGTGTGTTGCCTTCTCGTGTGGACGTTTCCTGCATATGAGCGAGCTGATGTTGGACTGAGGTGTCAATCAAGTCCTGCTGGATGAATCTATCTGTAGAGTTGGTAACTGAGAGGGAAGGCCAGTCAATATCGGGGCAGTCGATTCTTCCAGTTTAAGTTTAACCCACTCCAGTTCAGAATTTGTCACAAATTCAGGCTGTTCCACCGATACCAGGTCTTCATGAACCAAAATGACACCTCCTCCATGGGACCCACGGTCATTTCGATATGCCTTGTACTCACTAGGGAATAGCTCACTGGATCTGATATAGTTCTGCGTAGGATTTTTACTCGGTTTCACTCCTCGGAGCCATGATTCCGTGCCGCAAACAATGTCGGGTTTCAAGTATTCCAGGGCTCCTGATAGTTCATAAAATAATTCAAAATTCATTAAAATGAAACATTACAACATGATCAATAGCATTCCATTCCTTATTGATAAACCTAGTAAGATTTTCTAAAAAATAATCTAGTTATTTGTATCATTGGTGTAATTCCTAAGAAATGTAAACAAATTGAGGAGGTGAACTTCTAATTAAACACCACAAGCTACAAGTCCTGACTATTGGAAAATATAGTGTAGAAACTTAAATATAAATATTCAAGTGTGTGAAAAAACTGTTCAAGTCAATGTCGGGTCTGAACTATAAATTTTGTGTCACATTTTGACACAACAGATGGTGTTACAATTGTACAAGTCATCATTGAACCAACTTTTATAAATATTTTTCTTTGCATTTTTACATTTCTAAAATCCTTCGAAATACATTTCTGTGTGTTTTTTACTTTTCAAAAAATCCTTGGGAACACTCATATAATTTCTCTATCAACTTATAGGTTCCCTGATGGGGGTTCTGTGGTCCTGACAGCACTCTTTTTTCCCTTTGGACTGGCACTGGTCATCATTCGAATATTCATCATGATGCATGCCCTGTTGGTGTCTTGTATACTACCAAAGTGTCAAGCTACAAGGTAGGTCTCAACACTGAATGCCCCGATGTTACGAATTTAAGGACAATTAAAATACCCCGGTACCAGTACAGGTTAAAAGCCGTGCAATATTTACACATTTATGTGAATAAAGAATACAAATCTGAAAACTGTTGCATTTGAAGTAGTTTAAAGATAGCTTCATGCGTATGCAGTGTGACTATTTCCTGTATTGTAATTACATAAATAAGGCTGCTGGAAAATTATCTGGTGCATTGTGTAAATGTATTTTGTTAATGAAGTTTAATTGACTTTTTTGTTTAATTGGAAATGTTGTCACGATTGATTTATTTATTGTATTGTTATTATTGTATATTTGAGTCTGGTGTAGAGGATCTTAAATGATACTGTACTGGTAGTAAACTTAACTTAATATACTGAATATGAATCACTGAGGCCTTTAATACCATGTCCAATGTCATGATATTATTTTCTGTTTTAAGCTTCATCCTCAAATCACTGTTTGGAGTTGTGGGTATTCAAGTTATGGTTCAAGAGGATAAACGCAATAAGCATCCCAACAAAATCAAAGCCAAGGTTGTCGTAGCCAATCATGTGTCTTATCTTGATCACATGGTCATCGATCTTGTCCAGCCAAGTGTAGTGGTAAGCCAGGATAGTGTTACCTCGTGTTTCATTACTGCTCGATTGCTAATGTGCAAAATATGTACATAACATGTTATTATCACTGCTGTGAGTGCACATTTTAATATATACTCTACAGATATTTTATTTGACTACTGACATGAACAATTTAAAAAGTCATTTATCATTTATCATCTGAAAAAAAATAGGGTCAAAATACATGTCCATTAAAACCCAAAACCAACTTTGGGAAGTTTAAAGATCTGGAGTCTGCTAAACACAAATACTCTACAGATATTTCATGCATAGATTTTCTATATAGATATTTCATACATTTGTATTTTTTATAAATGATGCATACTCAAAAATTGTTTTAGCCGTACATATTTTGTTTCAAAGAGATAAAGCTTGTTAACAGCTTTTGATTTTGTTCATGATTTATTTTGTAATCCTGTATGTACCAGGTATTAAAAAAGTCAAAATTTATTGTCAACTAAATCTTTAAGATTTGTCATTTTTGTGAGTATCGGTAATCATTGTATGATAATTTCATTTATTTATTTATTTTATAGCCTGATGAAGTGGGCTTCTCGTCTTTCTTTCGGTGGCTGTTTTCCTACCGCGACTTTGGGGTTACTCGGGGAAATGAACATCTTGAAGAAAACATTAAGAAATATCTTCAAGGTACGTGTAATGTATATAATCTATATACACATTTTACTTTCTGGGATCTTCTGTATTAAATCATGTTTTATCCGTCGAAGCCAAACCCTGTTTAACCTGGACACCTGTACAAACTGAACCTTCATACTAGGTCCCTTTATTAATGTTTCTATTTTATACTAAAATGAAATTGTTTAATTCATAAACAGATCTGTTCTACATAAAGGTGTTGGCCCTGATGATGTTTTGGTTTACACAGTATATATGGCACTGTTAACAGTTTTAATTAGATGTAATACCTGGTAATCCATCTTATGTCGTTGTTCTCCACAGATCAAAGTGTACCAGTATTATTTTTACCTGAGGGAACACCTACCAATGGATCGGGAATCCTAAAGTTCAGGTACGTGTTCATCTTTGGTTTGGTTTGTTTGTGTTTTATGTCCCATTAACAGCTATGGTCATTTAAGGACGTGCCAGATTTCCGTGGCGGAGGAAAGTCAGAGTTCCTGGAGAAAAAACACTGACCTACGTACCTGGCGACTGCCCCACGTAGGTCTGGAACCCACATCCCAGTCGTAGAGGGCTAGTGGTAGCAGTATGTCAGACGATTTACCACCTAGCGACCTCGGCCCAGTACATGTTCATCTAATAACAATGTGTCAATATGGCTTTTCATATTATCTACATTTTCAATCATTTTGGAATATCACTGGTGTATCTCTTTCTTCCCCATCCTTGTTTATGCCGTGGACTTGGCTACACTTTCCCTTTCACACTCACCCATTGCATTGTTGTATTTTCAAACAGGAAACCATTTTTTTCTTTAAAATCTCTCACTCTAGGTCTAATGGTAGCCATGCATGATAATATTATTTTCAACGATCTCGCATGATTGTAGGTCATTGAATCAATTAACACTGTAAATTCTTGTTTTCAGTATTAATAGTTAACTTTTTAAGATCTTAAGATTTTGTTACAAATGAAAATTAATACTTTTGTAACCTAAAATTGTCTTTTATTTTTAACAGGTCATTTCCATTCTCACTTAAGGTACCAGTGCTACCAGTAAGTATATATGATATATATAACACCTCATTAACATTTATAGCTCTCACAATTATCTTATCTTAGATAATTGGTATTCATATTTCCGCTATCAAAGGTTTAGGTCACATATGTTGTTTTGAATGACCTATGAAAGAAAAATGAAACAATTTTTTGCCAAATGGCCAACAGAAATTTTGTGAAGCTTCAAATTTAGTTCTAGGTATGTTATACAGCAAGACCTATACTAAAAGTCTAGTTACACATGTTACATTATCATATAAGTCCTACCCAATCTGTACCGGTCTAGTAAGGCATGCTACAGACAGGGCAACCCAACCATTTAAGACACACCTTTTACAAGTCTAGTAATACACATTTTACTTTATCATTTAACAGCATATCTTCTATGGTTAGTGAATTTAGTATAGAGTGTAAAATTTCTACACGAGATGTCCGAATTGTTGCAAACTTTACTAGTGATTGTTACAACCCTTGCCTACATTAATTACATCTAATGATTGTATTACAGGTTAGTATCTCGTATACAAGATGGCCTCTTACTATGCCTGTGGTAAGTTATGTCTCACACAGATGTGTGCTCACTGTGCTTGTGTCAATTATCCCTTCGCAACGAAAGTTCGAGTGGATATAGGATTCAGCCAGTACGTACGTACATACGTATGTTACACTCTTTGTCATCGCTCTAGCAACTTCATTCCTCAACGCAATTTCATGGAACTTCATGCAAGTGTTTGGTATGGCAATACCTTGAACAAGTTTTCGTTTTGGGTTTCTACGTTGAAGGTCAAGGTCACTGTTACTGTTTTTGTGAATGCGAGGGAATTTGTATCACTTTTGATGCCTTGTTAATATTTAATACACTTTTCATACTGTGTGGTAAGTAATATTTTGTACTCAAGATGGCCTGTCACTGTAGCAGGTACTGGTAATGTAGTTTTATTGTCTGTCAGTCGAAGAATGGCTCTAGGGAACTTCAAAACTAGAACAAAATGTTTGAAGTGATAGTAGATTCTGGTATTAAAATGGTTACATTCTGAAATTAAAAAAAATCGTTGTTGGTTTTGAAAACAAAGAACACCATTGTCGTGAATTCGGTGTGTGTTATTCACACACCGTCACAACAAGTAGTTGCAAACGCTCTCAGCTCCTGAAATCAAAGACAAGGTGGAGGAAATTCACTCACGTGTTGCTGGTTCGATATCAAGAAGTATAAGAGACCACGCCAAGGCGTCACAGCGATGTTGTCGCGTAGCTCACGAGATCTCGTGTCGGCGCGGTCCATGGTCCAAGGGAGATAACTCCCCCGAAATTCACCACACTCCTCCCTGTTTTATGAAGGCCCCTCCTGGGGCCTGGTTATAGCCAGGAAGAAGTCCGTTGATGGGAAACCGCCTAGGTGTTGGCCAGACGGATGTCGAACTAAGCAGTGTTTTGTGAAGGTCAGATCCCCCCTTAAGTGAACAGTATTCTATGAAGGTCAGATCCCCCCATAAGTGAACAGTATTTTGTCAAGGTCGGAACCCCCATTAAGTAGATAACACATTGTCGCCTTCTAGAATTCAGCGACAAGTTGTTTAGTACCTCCTTAAGTAACAATATGTTAAGTACAGTCCTACCGTACCCATTTGGAGATGAGGTTAGTGGTGGAGGCCACTGTTTGATTTAGGCCTCAATAACCACAGCTTCTAGTCTTGCTGGGCTTATCTCCCCAAGGAACACCACGGCTATGGATATAATCCACACAATAGGCACAGTCCCCCCGTGCCTTGATAAGTATGAGAATAATCTCCCCCTGACAGGGCCCAATATCAGCTATGGGGTATGTGGTAACACTGTTGGTCAATCCGACAGTGGGCTCCTTTGCAAATTGCATTGATGGGCATGCTGCCTGTAGACGGCCCCATTTAAGCTGTTATCCTACCAATTACTGGTAAAGGGAGCTGTCTTATCACAATAGGGACCCAGGGAGTCAATTAAATGGTCAAGGAAAGAATGCCCTTCCAATTTGTATAAAGATGTAGGATGGCTTGGTTTTGGAAGATAATAGGGAAGCTTAACCTCCCCTGCCTGTGGATGCCACAGACGAATCTGGGGGCTACTTCAGTGCCCCCCACTTTGAGTTTGGAGTTAAGGAGGAGAGTATCCCACTCCCCTTACTACAACCGTACTTCTGACGTGCTGAAAGGTTGCTTCCACGAAGTTCGGGAGTAAACTGGTGGGGAAGTAATCCCTCCCCACACTACAGGTGTGCCACACTACTGGTGGCGACAGTTGGCTATGCCAGGAGGTCCCTTACTCGAAAGAGTAGAACCCCCTGGCATTGGCATTGAGTTGGCTTGTCAGGAGGTACAAGTTATCCCCCCTGAGCGAGGCCAATTCCTCCAGAGTGTGCCTTAGGAGCCAGGGGCTGTTGATTCCAACCCCGGCTCCCATAGGCACCAGGTAGGGGGCATCCGACTCTAGCAGTAATCTGCTAGGGTCAATGCCTCCCAGGGCCAGTAGCGTGGAGGGGGCTCTTAGGGATAGAGCCGTCACCCAGATATGGAGGTTCGGCAGCAGCTGCCGCCAAGCCTCAATATCCTCCACAGACCCAGTGAAACAGTGCCAATGCACCGCCAGCGTGGAGGCCCCTGGCACCCTTCGGAAACATCTGAGGGCCTCCTGCGCTGCCCGGCCACTGCCCCCATCTTTGCAGTGAATAATCACCGGTCGACCACCACCCTCAACCACAGCCCCTTGCAGGATAGTGGTCAAGGTGGTGACCTGATCCCTGGTGACCTGCTGCCGGCATTCTGCAGGTTTGGGGCCCTGGCCCGCACAGCTACAATTGGAGGTCAGGTCGATGCCTACCTCCCCTATAGCTGTACAGGCCGGGTCCCGCAGCTGCTGCAGGAAAGCCATCAGGTGGCGTCCCCTCCCCACTTTATGAGGGTGCAGTCCAATGGCCACCTTGACCCTTGGGTCACCAGCCACCTGGCCCTGGCGCCTAGACCAGCTGTCGGGGTAGGCATAATTGGCCACCCCGCCCAGAAGGACTACGTCCCCACCTTCCTCCTGAGCTGCTAAGTCAGCGAAGGAGGTTGCCCTGCCTTTCGCTTACAGAGCATCCAGGTGGAAGTGGCAGTCATAGACTGCCACTGGTGGGGGGCGCACAGGCGGACTTGGTCCTCTGGAGGCAGAATCACCGCCATCGACAGAGGAGCACGTAGCCGGCGCAGAACCTACCTCCTCCGATCGGCAGGGTGGTCTTGGGGCAGTAACACCGCCCTTCGAGGAACTAGTTGGCCGATCGGAGCCGGTCCTTGGGGCAGCCCCTGAGCCAGGGACCAAAAAGCGCCTCGGCTCGAGGTACCCCTGGCGCCGCTCTCTGGGCATGAGCCTCATGATCGCCACTTGCAGCCTCCAGTGAAGAAGGCTGCCAACGGACCGGGGCGGACTGAGGGACACCGGCCCCTCATCCCCCAGGAAGTCGTTGATGGCTTCTGCCACCAAGGTCTCTCTGGGGGAGAAGGGACGAGGAGCATCAACAGCCCGCGCTGGGTAATGTCTACCCTCCACAACAAGGGCAAGAAGACCCAGGATGTCCGGGACCCCGCAGTCATGGGCCTGTGCACAGAGCATGCGCACCAGGCCCCTGACCCATTCGTCTCAGCCATCCTCGGGGCTGCCCTCATGGTCAGGGTGTCGCTGTGTCAACTGCTCCCGGTTGTTCACGCCCACCCCACAAACAAGGCATCCGCCCTCCACGTTCACCAACAAATTGAGGTGAACCGAGAGGGCGTGACGTGACGCCTAGGGTGGCGGTCAACATCCAGGCACAGGTCACAGTTCCGGTACCTGACCCCTTTGTTCCTAGCCGGCTCGCCAGAGAACGACGATGCCCCTTGCTCGCTTGCCAGCTGAGGGACATGACGCCTCTCGGCGGAGGAGGCTGTGCCTCGAGCAGAGAACCGCTCAAGAGGTGCAAACGCTCCCTCGGCCCCGGCCGGAATGTAGGGGAGGGGTCCCAGGGACTGGGCCCTAGACCCCCTTTCCCCTGTAAGGGGAGCTAGCCCCCTACCAGCTAACTGGCAGGAAGGCTCCTCCCAAACTTGCCTCCGAGCAGAAAACCGCTCAGGAGGTTGACTGCCTACCTCCGGACCCCGCTGCAGGTTCAGCCTGGGTCCTGAAGGTTGACCGGAGGTGGAGGGAGACGCAGAGGCAGCTGACCGCCTTCGTCTTCCGGACCTCCTCCTCCTCCTGGGCTTCCGGTCCTTTCCCGGTGCCTCCTTCTCCTCCAAATTGAGAGGAGAAGGGGCCCCCTGGAAGGGCACCGGCGCTGTTGCCTCAACCGCCTCCTCCCCTGGTCTCTAGGGTGCCCTGAAGGCCCCCCACCCCAGGAACCGTCGGACCGACTCCTGATCGGTCTCGACCGGTGCCGTCCTAGTGATCCTGGGAGCAGGAACCACAGAGTCTTCCCCGGAGACCACGGGCAAATCCAGGATGAACTGGGGTGGGCCCATCCGGACCACAGGTTTGGAGCTCCACCCCCCGCCCTCCTCACTGGAGGCCAGCTCCTCCTCGGGATCCTGGGTCCCCTCACCGAGGACCTCCCCCTCAGGCTCACTGGCCTCCTCTCCCATCCCTTGGATGGTGTCAGATTCTCCGTAGAAGGGGAACTCTGACCAGTTCCCCTCCCCCTCAGGGCCCTCTGTCCCTTCCTCCACCTCCGGAGGAGCTAACTCCACCTCTGGAGGTGCCGCCTCCTCCTCTGCGCTTAGGAACTCCTCACTCGAGGAGTAATCGAGTCTTAGAATGTAGTCCATTCTGTAAAGGAAAGAAAACCTTCCTCTACTATGATGAAATACAAATACCCTTTTTTGAAGACTCGCTCTCAATTAAAGCTGTCTCCCTCACCTGCACCCTGTGACTTCATTTAACAAGTCCCAGGAAATACGGAGGGATTTTTACTATCCTTGCTACTATCCCTAGAGCGCTTTTCTATACCCCTTAGGTATAGTATTTTTTATATACCATACCACCAACTATGCTCTGCACTGGTTTTAGTGAAGAACATAGTTGTCGAGTTTCTGGGGTACCCTTGTCTGCCTTCCCGTGCGGGTACGTACCCCACTCGGAACGACACTAGCTTTACCTAGCCGCTCATCAACGATTGGGTGCCCATGCTCAGAGACCTGTCCCTTCCTACCCTCGTCATGCGTTCCCACCAAGGGTTCGCGTCTCACGATTCTTTGCACCTACGACCGGCACCTGTACGGGCAATGAGAGAGAATGTTTCATGCGATGCAACCACAAGGGCAGAAACCGCCCATTGTAAGCTTTTAACCGATCATGATGGCAGTGCTTTGACCCCTTGTGATTCCTCAAATTGTAAACTGGGTGCTTTACCCCAGCTATCAGGTATGGTCCTATCCAGGGGGGCTTCAGCTTTGAGCTTTTTCCTACCTTCGTGGACGTGTCCCTTTTGTATACGACGTCCCCTACTTCGAATATGGTTTCCGCCAACCTAAGGTCATAGTCCCGTTTTTGTCTCCGCTGAACCTTTCCCAC